TTAATAATTTTTTTATAATAATAATAATAATTTTATTATTAGTGACAGAATACCAAAAGATACAAGCCAAAGATCTTCCATGTATTTTTGCTAACTTAGTCGATCTATACACAGATAAGGGCTTGAAACCATGTGCAGTAAAGAAGAATCAAACATGGCGTTATGCTAGTAGTAAAGCAGCAGCTGAAAAACTACAAGCCTGTCATAACTATATCCCTGAACTCATTCATATTTCATTAAATTCTTTTTCTGTTTGTGAGGTACATTATAACCAAGTTATATCTACTAATAAATTTTATGAAACTCTCTCAAATTTAAATACAGGCAAAATTGACACTCCTGTTGTAAAAAAAAAAAGATCATGTGGAAACAATACTTCTAGCATTAATACTGACACAACTGTTCAGTTTACTGAAGCAGAATTTGCCAACAATGAATCTGTTCCTATAGAAGAATTCCAAAGAATAAAAAATTTGTTGGAGTTACGTGAACTGGAATGTTGGAACAAATCACAACTTATTGTAGAACTTAATTTATAATGTTTATATTATATTTATATCATATATATTCAATTTAATTAATTTTATAATGTTTATATTAATTTATTATATTTATATTAATTTAATTATATTTATATTAATTTTATAATGTTTATATTAATTTATTATATTTATATTAATTTAATTATATTTATATTAATAATATTTATATTAATTTTATAATGTTTATATTAATTTATTATATTTATATTCATTTAATTATATTTATATTAATTTATAATATTTATATTAATTTATTATATTTAAATTAATTTATTATATTTAAATTAGGGAGATTGATCTTAAACAGTTTGCAATATGTCAAGGTTACAAAAATGATAAACAGCTTGCTTATTTTAAAAAATGTTATGATCATCATAAGTCCTGGGATTCTGTCTGTAACATATATCATCAAGCAATGTCTCTGGAGCTTATGTGGCCTTATGTAAAAAATCATTCTAATCCATCAGTTGAAGGATACATAGTGTGGGCTAAAGGACAACAGGATCCAATTTATCAAATAAAGTATGAACAGGTGGGAAATTTTAATATTATTTGTTAATTAAATACATAGACTTATTGGATTAAACATTAATAGTTTATAAAAATTGCATAATAGACATTTTATTATTTGCAAGCCATTATCAATTATAGAACAGCTGTAAGAACTAATCGTCCTTTATTAAAAAGTGCTGCAAGAAGAGCCTTTTCTCCAATTTGGTCAGCTCGTCGCCATCCAATTTATCAATTAATTGAAGTTGCAGATGAAGTACAATTAATGCAACTTCATCCAAGTATACGTGATTTGGTGGAGAAATATTGTGTATTATCCAGATCAGGATTGTTTAACCAGCATCAAGGGTTAGATGCAATTTTAGAAGAAGTGAACAAGACATTAAAATCTTTAATACCTCCTGTGCCACAACTACATCATTGGAAAATTGCTTCTCGTAACTTAAAAAAATTTTTTCAGGTAATAAAATTTATTATATATATTTATCCAATTTATAATAAATTTAACTGTGAACCAATTTAAATTTAAATATATATATTTATTAATTTATATGGTGCGCGAAGCCTATAACCACCATTTTTGCACATGATTTTTGAAAGAATAGAAGTCCGTTTCTGTTGATCCTTTTTTAAAAATAACTCTGTTATTGCATAGATTGAGACT